GTTTGGAATTGATTTTTAATAAAGGTATAGAAATTTTGAAAAAGCGAAAAAACCTTAGATTTATCTTTCATTAGAAAAACCCAAGTTAATCTTGTGTGGTCATCAATAAAGGTTACAAACCAACGAGCTTTGGAATGTGTTTCAGATTTAGATGGCCCCTAAACATCACTATGTATAAGGTAAAAGGGGTGAGAAGGATTATATGGGTGAGAAGAATAAGTATTTCGAACTTGTTTGGCAAAATAGCAAGTGTCACAATGAAATTCAGCAATAGCAATATCATTAATATTTGGAAATAAAACTTGCATATAGCGTAGACTAGGGTGGCCTAATCTAGAATGCCACAACATTATTTCATCAAGGGGCATAGGGGATAAGACAGAATGACAAATAGATTTTTGTAGGGAGGACCCTTGTATATAGTAAAGGCCATTCCATACTTTAGCAGCGCCAATCTTCTTCCCTAATGCCAAGTCCTGAAAAACACAGCTAGTGTTATCAAAAGTAACAAGACAGTGAAGTTTTTCAGCCACTTGTTGTACTGAGAGCAAGCTGCATTCAATCTCAGGAACATATAAGACATTATGCAGAGTAATATTAGGAGTAATGATCACAGTTCCCGAGCCCCTGACTTGAGCAAATTGCCCATTTGCAACTTCCACAGTTTTGTGTATGGAAAAATCACTAAAGTCAGAAAATAATTCCTTAAATCCAGTAATGTGATGAGTTGCGCTAGAATCTATAATCCATAGATTTTTAGATGTAGTCAGGCTATGAAAAACATGAGTGAGAGCAGTACCTGCATGGGCTAGAGTGACAGAAGGGGTAGTGTTCTCACTGTTAGGAGTAGAGGGCAGGTGCTTATCCAAAAATTTGCGCAGTAATAGCAGCTCATCATGACTAATGGTTTCATTAGAGTTAACACCTACTAGCATTCCCTTGCTGCCAGGTTTGCCCCTAGGTTTGTTGTTTGGAGGCTTGCCATGCAGCTTCCAGCACACTTCTCGGGTGTGACCACTCTTGTGACAGTGGTCACACCACTTATTACCCTTTTTTGCTTTGGGATCACTTTGTGGGCCATTGACAGCGAGAATAGAGGAGTTAGTTGAAGTAGAGGAAGTATTAGAGGCAGTGATTAATACCTTTCGGCTTTCCTCAAATTTAACAGTGTTGAATGCTTCAAGTAGAGATGGAAGTGGCTTGAGACTCATGATTCTTGCTCGCACATCCTCATAGGAATCATCAAGACCAAGAAGAAACTTATAGCAACGTTCTTGATCCACTAGTTTTTTGTAATACATGGCTGCTACAGTGCTGGGCCATTCATGGACCTCATAGAGGTTTATTTGCTGCCAAAGTTTCATTAGAGCAGTATAATATTGGGTAATAGTTTGATCACCTTTGGTTAGGTCATGGAGTTGTCGCTTAACCTGAAACAAAGCTGCTGTGTTTTCGGTGACAGAATAGGTAGCTTTAGCAGAATCCCAGATTTCTTTGGCTGTGGTGGCAAGAAGATAGTTTTCTCCTATATCGGCAGTCATGGAGTTAATAAGCCATGCCATTACTAGGTTGTTTTCTGCACACCATGTTGCAAATTGGGAGTCGGTGGACACTGGTGGAGCTTTAGTAAGATAGATCTCCTTATTCCGTCCCCGAACAAACATCAACATGTATCTGGACCATTGTAGGTAATTATGCCCATTTAGGCGATGGGTAACCGGGAATTGGGAGAACGCATCAGACTGAGGGACTAGGGCTAGTGTCCCTTGCTGTGAGGGATCGGAGTTGCTGCCTTCAGCAGCGAAGGCGCGTGGCTGCAGAAGAGCAGCTTTGAACGCCATTGAGAATATTTTCAGATCAGTGCTCTGATACCATATTAGTGTTTCTGAATGATTCACAATATATTTCACTGAATAGCAATTTACATGATTTATAGGATGGGGAAGAATATTCCTAATTATTATAGATCTGATTTGGTTTCCCTAAATAGCTCCTAGAATCATGGGATAGGATAATAATCAGATATGATCAGATTTTATCTCAATCTGACCGTTACAGCATTTATGATTAAATGATCCTGGACTACAGCATTTATGATTAAATGATTTAGGAGATTTAGGGTTAAATACTGGTTCATGGGCCGCTAACAGCCAGCCCACTTTCCCACAGTACCCTTTCTGGGTTGGCGAATAACCTAGGAAAATACATTTTTCAGCTTTGGATTTGAATTTGCCTTCATTTTTGTACACAAATACAACACACCCAAAAACTTTAGGAGGTAACTAATTGATTAGAGGGGAATTAGGGTAGCTTTCAATTATTTTTTGTACTGATGATTTAAAATCTAAGACCTTGGAGGGTACCTTGTTTATAAGATAAGCTGAGGTTAAAACTGCATCCTGTTAAAATAGATTGGGGACATTTTTTTGGGTCCTAATGGCATAGGTTACCTCTAAGATATGCCTGTTTTTCCTTTCAGCCACTCTGTTTTTGTTGGGGGGTATAAATACACGAGGTTTGGTGATGTATTCCCTGTTGTTCGAGAAAATCTTTAAAGGCTTTACTCAAATATTCTTTTGCATTGTCACTTCTAAGAACTTTGATGGTAGTTTGAAACTGATTTTTTTACAAACATAAATTTTTTTTTGAATGTTTCAAATATTTCAGATTTTTCCTTTAATAAGAAAATCCATGGCATTCGAGTGTGATCATCAATAAAGGTAATAAACCGGTGAGCGTTAGAGACAGTCTTTGTTTTGGCTGGGCCCCATATATCACTATGAATGAGTGTGAAAAGAGCAGTTGGTTTGTTTGGTTGTTTTGAGTAGGTGGCTCTAGTTTGTTTTGCAAATTGACAGATATCTCATGTAAGTGAAATAAAGTTTTCTTTATTAAAGAGGTGGAAACAAGTGCTTCATGTAATTAAAGCTAGGGTGGCCTAACCTATGATGCCACAATAGAATGTCTTTACTTTTTGTGTTGTGGCTAACCATGGCTTGATGTGTTTCCTTATTGTGCATTTTGAAGTAGTAAAGTCCATCTCACTCTTTAGTAGTGCCAATCGTCCTCGCTGAGGCTAGATCCTAAAAAATACAGCTGCTATCATCAAATAGGACATGACAAATTTGACCCTTGGTTAGTTTGCTTAAAGAGATGAGATTACAAGGGAGTTCTAGCGCGTATAACACTTTATGTATGGCTAAATGATTAGATAATTTAACTGTTCCAGAACCACACACATAGACACTGATTCCATTTGCTACCTTTACTTTTAAGTTTTCATGACAATGTTTAATAGTGATAAAAAGAGATTTGTTACCAGTTATGTGATCTGATGCTCCAAAATCAACAATCCATATATCATCACTAGTCACCATAACATTAAGGGCTATTATTGAGTTACCTGATTTTACTAGGTTGACATTAGGAGTGTTGGTTTGTCTTTCCAGAATTCGCCTCAGTAGTTGAACTTCTTGTGGCTCAATTTTTCTTCCTCTTCTTCTTTTTTCTTTGCATGGTAGCTTTTTCTTTCACTTTTTTGTCTATTGTTCAGATTGGGAGGTTTCCCATATAGCTTCCAGCAAATTTCTTTGGTGTGACTCTTTTTCTTGCAATGGTTACACCGCTTATCACTTTTCCTTTTCTGATTTGTTGTATTCCCACTCCTGATTGCCATTGCAGAAGCTTCATTTTGGGTTACTAGAGCTTGGGTGAGTTGCTTTCTGCTCTCCTCACATTTTACCATATTAAAGGTTTTGAAAAGTGAGGATATAGGTTTGAGTCCCATGATTTTGCTCCTAACTTCTTCAAAGGTGTCATTGAGTCCTAGCAAGAACTAATAGGTTCTTTTTGTTTCAATGAGCTTTGTATGATACTAAGTATCATTTAAACATTTCCACAAGTGAATCTCAAACAAATCTAATTGTTGCCAAATTCTCACGAGAGCTATAGTATTGGGTCATGGTTATTGTATGTTGTCTGAGTTCTCTAAGTTGTTTCTTTAATTGAAATAATGCTGCTGTGTTTTCCATAGAAGAGTATGTCTGTTTAGTTGCATTCCATATTTCCTTGGCCGTCTATGCTAGTAAGTAACCTTCACTGATCTTCGGTGTCATGGAATTGCATAGCTAGGTCATTACTTAGTTATTCTCGGCGAACCAGGTATCAAATTTTGGATTATTCGTGGCTAGTTGAGGGGCTTGATCGTTGATATATTTTTCTGTGTCTACCTCAAAGGTACATCAGTATACTTTGTGACCACTGGAAGTAATTATTTCCATTGAGTTTGTGTGCTATCGTGGGTTGTTCATTCTCGCTTGTAGCGGTAAGCTCTAGGACCATAATCGATCCTTGAGAACTTGCATTTGTTTCAGGAGATGCTGAATTAGATTGAGTTGACGTGGTGGACTTGCTATCTGATGATGATCCGACCATTAGGGCAGTTGAGTTAGGCCCCTTGTTTGCCTGGTTTGATCGTCGTCCCTTGAATAGTGGTGGGAACTTGTCACTGTTCATTTTTCTTTTCCAATTGCTCTGATACCATATCAGAAAATGTTATGTAATTTTCTTTGTATTATTCAAAGGTTGATGAAGTACATAAATAGGGGTTGGATTTCTTACAAAGGGCTGGGAATCCAATTGTATTAAACGGTAATGATATTGGGTAATCAACCCATAGTTAATGCCTGTGATCCTAGGCTTAGAAAAAGAAAAGAATCACAGAATTAGGGAGGTGATTCCAACGGCTGGTAAATTTGTCTTCGATTCTAACAATAGGTATATGGGTGTCTTTTGCTATTACAAGTTGATCATTCTCATTTCATGCGACTTTTTAACAGGCTTTTATTAATCAAGGCTTTTGTTAATCATGATACTAAAATACTAGCACACTCTAATGAAACTAATTCGGAAAGTTCTCTATTTGAAATAACTGTACTTAGTGATCAATATTGGCATGATCTTCAAATAAAAGTTCATTAATCTTATTGACTGGTTAACAGATACTTAATGATCAAAATGATACTGAAATACCAGTACTTTCTGATGAAACTAAGTTGGAAAGTTCTGTTTCTGAGGATCGCTTTGGGAGGTGGGCAAGAACAACATTCAAAATTGTTGTTTCATATCATGGGGCCTCATTTGATGGGTGGCAAAAGCAACCAGGATTGAAGACTGTCCAAAGGCAAGCTCTTATCATCATCATATTTATTTTAATTTATGCAGTTTCTGAGGCATTCTGGGTATCTTAGAAAGAAATAATCCTTTCTCCAAGACTTAACTTGTATATTGCCTAATGATTGAATTAGTTGTTTTTATTTTTGCAAAATTAAGATATGGCTAGTTGATGGCATTTACATATCTAATAACAAATTAGCTTTGTAGATGTGTGCTTGATTATTAGATCTATGACAAAATTTATTATGTATAATAATTATAATTATAACATGTGATATAAAGAGATTTGGCAAGAAAAAACAATAATATATGTTTAACGGATTATTTTTGCTCTTTTACTTATATTTTGATGCAGCATAGTAGAGGGATCTCTTGGGGAATTTGTTGATGAAAAGAAAGCACGACTGCTTCGGGATAAAGGTTTACTTGTTGAAGGCTGTGCTGTTGTGGCTGGGCGCACAGACAAAGGTGTGACAGGCCTTCAACAAGTATGTTCTTTTTGTAAGTCATTCCCCTTTTCTTAGAAGTTTGTCCGCTGTGTAAACTGAGATTTAATGGGAAGAATTGTACTTTATTAAATGATACGGAATAGAGAGGAGTATGATGTATAACCTACCTTGGCTAATTAGGGCAAATCTAGGGTAAATCAGAAAAGTAAATATATCCTAATGATAATGCTAATAATCTGGAAACAATCCGAAATCAAAAAACATGATATGAAGATAATACTGGATGCTAGTAAATAAAACTAAGTTTATTGGGCTTGGACAAAAGTTTATTGGGCTTGGGCTTTGTCTTCCAACTCCCCGTATCGATTATTCCTAGCTTGCTTCTTAGTCCTTAAAACAAGTTTCTTGGTAATGGTTTAGTGAACGATCCACCACTTGAATTTTGGTGCTGATGTAGGACAAATCAATGATGTCTCCTTCAATTTCCCCCCTTAATAATGTGTCTGTCAATTTCAACATTCTTTGTCCTATCATGATACATAGGATATGTAGCCATCTCTATAGTTGACTTAATATCATACCGTAGTTTCATCAGTGCATTGTGCACGAGTCTCAATTCTTTCAATACTCTGGTATGAGCTTCGAAAGAGAGAGAATGAATCCGATCTTTATTCCACGTGTCATTGATACAACTCAGTCCTATTTAGAAGTTGATAAGACTAACTAGTAGACTTGGTTAACAAAATAATCGAAGTGGTTACAACTATGCTACCCACTTAATACTCTAAATGAATGACATGTATCAAATACTCCCCCTGAAAATATATCCTTGTCCACAAGGATTGTATGACATGGACGGGTATAGGCTAGAAAATCAGGAAATTGTTATCGGATAAATGCCAAATCTTCTCACATAGTGTCTTCTGGTCATGGTAAATCGTCCTTCTTCGTTTGTATGTGGCAAGAACGTACTAACTGGGATACCGGTACGAGGAGCTTTCTTTAAAAGGGAAACATGGAAAACTGGATGAACTCTACAATTGTCAGGTTGCTTCAACTCGTACACTACTCGGCCAACTTTCCTAAGGACCTCAAGGGCCCGAAACAGCTAGCTGCCATCTTATGTAAGGAAGAGTTATTAATGAGGTTTTTTTGAAAAGGATGGAGTTTCAGATACCCAATCCCTCATCGCTTGATCCGAACTATGCTTGTTAGCTTGCTGAACCATTTGATTTTGTGCTTCCAACAAATGAGATTTTAAAAGTTGCGTGATGAGTTCCCTAGAGAGGCACACGCTATCAACCACCTCATTATTGGAATCGCCTGCCAAATATGGTAGATGAGTTGGCAGAACCACACCATAAATGGCTTGAAATGGAGTCGTTCTAATGGCTAAATAGTAATTAGTATTGTATCAAAGTTTAGCAAGTGAAAGCTACATAGCCCATTGCTTTGGAAAATCACCCTTCATACATCGTAAATAACATTCCAGGCATTTATTAAGGACCTTTGTCTGACTATCAGATTGTGGGTGATAAGCTGAGGAGTTTTTTAATGTCACCCCATAAAGTAGAACAGTTCACGCCAAAATTTGCCATAAAAAATAGGATCTCTGTCAGTTACAATGGACTTAGGGAATCCATGGAGTTTGACTATATTATCCATAAAGAGTTGAGTTAATTCTAGAGCAATAAATGGGTGTTTCAGCGCAATAAAATACACAGCTTGACTAAGCCGGTCCACTACCAGCATAATAGTTGTCTTAGGGTGAGATTTAGGCAGCTCACTAATGAAATCCATAGATAAATCAGACCAAATGTGATTTGGAATAGCTAATGGTTGAAGTAGGCCAGGTGAAGCCACTGTCTTGTTCTTAAAATGTTGACAAGTGACATAATTATGGACAAATTTTCTTGCAGCTTGTTTAAGGCCTTTCTAATAAAAATTAGAAGAGATGTGCCTATATGTGGGAGTGATTCTTGAATGACCCCCAATAGCATCGGCATGAAAGTAGGTAAGGTGATCATTTCGTAGTCATTTATCCGCACCCAAAACAAGTTTTCCCTTTCTTTTAAGCAACTCTGCTGATTATGCATACTAGGTGTAACTATTGTAAGCTCTTTAATCAACTTCTAAATATGGTCATCTAAAACCTATGATTGCTTCACTCTGTCGTACAAGTTAGACGATAAAAAACTGATTGCAGCAACAAAAGCATTGTAGTGCATGGGAAGTGCATCGGCAGCCACATTATCTCTGCCTTTGTGATATTCAATTTCATATGATAAACCCTATAATTTATTCAACAATCTCAACTGGTTAGGAGAGACCAACTTTTGTTCTAACAGATGCTTTAATGATAATGATTTTTTCTAATCACTAAAATATGACCAACCAAGTATGATCTTTGCTGTTTTCACAGCAAAGACTGTCCATCAACTCATGTTCATAGGCCGATAAAATTCACTTCCTCGGCCTTAAGGCTTTACTTACTAGTGAAGGCCAATGGTTGCCCAACTAGGAAAGCACCGTGCCCATCCCTAACCCAGATGCATCTGTTTCAATAACAAATTGGTCATTGAAATTAATCAATGCTAATATAAGGGGAAGACATAGCTTGCTTCAGAGTAGAAAAAGCACGCTTAGCATTAGAAGACCATATTGACCATACTGATTTACTAGAAGTTTTAGAGGAATAGTCAATGGTTGACATATAGCCCTATAATTCCTGATGAATAGTTGATAATAACAAGTGAGGCCCAAGAAACCTCATAAAGCCTCATAAAGCTTTAACAGTAGTAGGAACGGGTCAAGAAGAGTTAGCTTTAATCTTCTAAAGGTTAGCTTGTACTCCTTTAGCAGAGACTAAATAACCCAGGTAATCGACTTGTGTCGCAACGAAAACACATTTGCTCTGTTTTGCAAATAACTTGTGCTTACAAAGAACAGACAAGGTTCCAGTCAAATGCAATAAATGGGAAACTAATCTCTGCTATAGGCTAATATGTCATCAAAAATAAAATAAAATAAAATTAAAAAAAATAAAAAAAAACGAATTTCCTCAAGAATGGTTTAAAAGTAGAGTTCATCAAGCCTTGAAACGTAGATGGGGCGTTGCTCAACCCAAATGGCATAAGAACAAACTCATTACGTCCCTCATGTGTCTTGAATGCTGTCTTGTGAATATCACATCAATGCATGCGAATTTGATGGTAAATGGAGCGAAGATCTAGTTTAGAGAAATAATATGGCTTGTAACTAATCGGTTTCTCATCCTTGAGATGAATTTGGTGGTCGAAATCACAAGGAGGGAGCAATGTAGTGGGAACCTTAAAAACATCAGTGAATGAAATGAGCAGAACATCAAGTTGCTCTTGGCTGCTAGAAGGTAGGGTTGATGTTGTACCAAATGGACCCAAGCTTCATCTACCTTGGGCCTGACTTGCAGCAAAAACAAATGTTGGGCACAATTCAAACCATCATAGTCAATTAGGGCCTCAGAGGACCCTTACTAATAGATTGCATATCACATAATTCGTAAAATTGATTATTCAAATAGAAAGCTATGTAGTGGGCCTCCATATCTAAAATTATTCGGCCTAAATGACCGAGTCATTAAGCACCCTAGATTAGATCAAATTAACCTAAGTCCATTACTAAGAAATCGTCAGAAAGAGGAGAACCATTCATTGACCATACTAGATTGTGATAATATTTATCTATCAACATTGACCAACTAATGTAGAAGGTAACAACTCTAGATTGCTGAAATAATTCTTCTGTATATTCATTGTATTATTCGGTCAAATATATACACAGAGGAGATGTACAGGGCCGATCAATGTGGCCTGATTCCATGCGATTACAATCAACGTAAAAAAGGAAATGATATCCCTAATATCTTCTACCCATATCTACAATTAAATCGCTATATCTTCTCCTAATAATCCGCAGCATATTCTACACTCCCCTTCAAGTTGGAGCATAGATATCAATCATGTCCAACTTGCCTATGAGAGATTCGAATTTGTCTTTGGGAAGTCCTTTTGTGAGGACATCAGCAGTCTGCTCTCTTGAAGGTATATACCTGAGATCGATCAATCCACCATCAATCTTCTCTCTTATAAAGTGTCTATCAATTTCCACATGTTTCGTCCGGTCATGCTGGACGGGATTATGAGAGATGTTGATCGCCGCCATGTTGTCGGAGTAAAGTTTTATAGGCAGGTTTACACCTATTTTTAGTTCTTCAAGTACTCGCTTTGCCCATATACCCTCAAAATTCCAAGGGCAATGGCCCTAAACTCTGCTTCAGCACTGCTTCTGGCCACCACATTTTGCTTCTTACTGCGCCATGTGACTAAGTTACCCCAGACAAATGTGAAATATCCCGAAGTTGATTTTCGATCATCCTGATCACCTGCCCAATCTGCGTCTGTGAACATTTCAATGTTCCGCTGGTCATTTTTCCTGAAGAGGAGACCACGTCCTGGTGAACCCTTTAGGTACCTTAGAATTCTATACACCTCATTTAGATGTTTTGTTTTGGGTCATGTGAGTGTTGGCTTACCACACTCACAGCAAAGGCAATGTTTGGTCGTGTGTGAGATAAATATATCAGTTTTCCCACCATTCGCTGGTATCTTCCTAGGTCAACTGTCTTTCCTAGGTCTTCGTCATCCCCAATCTTGTCTGTACGTATGGGGGTGTTACTTGGCCTACACCCCAACATCCCAGTTTCTTTTAGGAGATCTAGGACATATTTTCTCCGTGAGATGTAGATTCCCTTCTTTGATCTAGCCACTTCCATTCCTAGGAAATATTTCATCTCTCCTAGGTCCTTAACCTGAAATTCCTTACTTAGAGCCCCCTTGATACGATCAATCTCTGATAGGTCATTTCCTGTAAGCACGATATCATCCACATATACTGCAAGTACTGTGATTTTCCCATTTAGATGCCTGAAGAACATAGTGTGATCACTCTGTCCCTGTTTGAATCCTTGTGTCTTGAGGACACCAGTGAACCTTTCAAACCATGCTCGGGGAGACT